TTTATCCCCGGATTTGCGCCTATGCTACCTTTATCAATCATAATCTTAATCGAAAGAAAATGCGTTAAAAGTATAGCAAGTCTAAGTTATAGCTTAATTTTGAAACCTTTTCATTGAATATTCGTTTTAAAAATATTTTTCATTAATTGTATACATTCCAAATTTTTTTATATATGGCTGTAACATTGGAATACGATAAAGTCAGACAGTGAGCTATTGTTACACCAAAAACAATACAACGGCAATATTGATATACCAAATTCGAATTGAAACAATTTGAATAGTTTTAACAAATATAGGTGTCTGTTTTTTCCTGGTACATTTTAGACTAATCTCTCCCTGACGCGCGTTTTTCATGCATTTTCTCTCTGCCGTACACTATTGTATATCATTATATAAATATCACGAAAATAGGAATCCTTTGTTATAAGAACGCTACAGCATAGAGAATCCAACAAATTGATTTCTCGACATATGTATATACTCGGGAATGACAAGAACATTATATTTTATCGGATGCAAAAAGATAAAGCATACGATATACATTTCAATGACTTACGTATTTGTCCATTTGCGCAATTGTTGTCACAAACATTCGCAATAATTGGGTATTATTCGTACATCTCACTCCCATCCCCCATCCCCCAATACGTTCTCTCTCACCGTCTTCTTTAGATGCAACTTCGAAGCGAATTACCAAAGTATCAATACGATTCTCGCTATTAAAAACATATCGTATGTGAAATTAGACATTCAGCCGATTTGATCGGATTGGAAATGGATTAATTCGATCAAGCGTGACCGGGAGGCACAAAGTTGGTAACCTCTGGCGGAAATCAAGGGAGGACCCTCCTTGGCATAGGCGTAGAATATCTGGAATCATATTGTTGCACTCGCGTATCACCTGCGGCGCTCTTCGTTCGCATATGCAAAATAAACTGGCCACAGTTTAAAAAACAAAAATCGAATGTTTAATAATTTTGTAACACAGGCCATGGCTCGGCGCAGACTCGATATTTCGATTAGACATCAAAGCAATCATATCACGTAATCGTTATTTTTACACTATAATCATTTCCCCCTCCCCCTCTCTTTCGTAATTATAAAAAAAATCTAATTACGCAGAATTAATTAATTCATTGCTCATTTCATAATCGCATCTGCAACAAATGTTCGTATCGTATTACTAAACGGACAAATCCGCGACTATCTAATAATGTGCAGAAGAATACTGGCACTCGTCGTATGCGCCATACGTAGCGTACATGTACCTGAGAAGACTTGGGAAGCCATTAGCTAATTAATGAGATCTCCTCCGGCGATGCTCGGCTTAAAGTCGGGAAAACGCGTACCTAATGCCCCTCGAAACTATGTAGCATTTCGAATGAACAAAAAAGACACACGCGGAACAAAAGCACCTTGCCAGATATGCTTTCAAATAAAATGAATATGTGACTTTGCTCGATTTTATTCAGAAGAAGAGCAAAGTACTCGAATCAATCAAAATTTTGAAATTTAATTTTTTATTCATAAATCTCTCTCTTCTTCGAAGAAGATTACATGTATGAGCTCAAAAAGAATTAGATGACTCATACACCGCGTTTCATTCTAATCCAAGCTACTGAAACCTATCGACATTAGGTCTAAATTAGGATAATATAAAAAAAAAACGTAGAGAGAAAGAGAGAAAGATTATCAGTACTATTTTTTTATAATATTTTATTATCTCATTTCCTTTTTATACCCATTATGAAATTGAAAAAGCTCTTGACAGAGTAAGGCTTTAAATAAATATAGACATCTTACACATGGAGAATTTTTATACTTTTTTTCAGCTTCAAAGTTTGCATAAATCTAATCAAATCTCATTATCACATATTTGAAAAAGGATACCATCGTAATTCGAGCGAATATATATGAAAATTTTCACGCAGTTTTTTCTTTCTTTCTCATATATGTTTTTTTTTTTTTTAATGATCAAAGCGTTTGAACATGATAAAATCGCGGTTATCTCTGCATTTATCGCGCACTTGTTTACGAGATTCGATGCATCGAAGAAAGCAGACTCGGAGTTATCGAACGACGCACCAAGCATCGAAATGAAACAATGCCCCAACACTCTCTCCGAGAGTCTAATCAAAATGACCACAAAGATTAATCCATTGTCCATGTTCATCTCCGATGCTCAGTTCTCTGATCGAGGGCTCGACTTTAAGATAACGTCCACATTTTTTAAATACGATGCGTTCTCACGCTATAAATTTATTTGTCACTCGTTTAGCTTTTGCATTACTCCTAATCTCTTTTATAATTTAACACAAGCTTTCTAACTCACGAATCGTATATATTTGTTTCCTCCCGCCTTACATTTTCAACATAGGCAACATTCTGTAAAATATATCGATTGCAATCGTCATCGATTTTTAAAAATCTACATTTAATTAAACAAATTATTTCTGAATATCTCTTAATAAATAAAGAAAAACTAATCTCTGATTTGATTTAGTGGAATTCGAAATAATTACATAAAATCAATAAATCGCGCTAGATTTGCGTATTTTCGCGATATGAATTTTTTCATTATAGAATTCGAACCGCGTATTTTCACCGTGCTTCCAAGAATTAAGTAATTGCGCCAAGAGAAGGCGATTTAATTTCAGATACGCCGCGAAGCTCGAAGAGTGGTCTCGTATTAAGATGGCTTGTTTTAGCGCGTAACGGGGATAAAACTAAAACGAGCGAGTGAACAAGGTACTCGCGTACAGAAGACAAGCCGCGACGCCACGTGCTTGGCGATCCTGCAAACGACAGACCATTGTTTCGCGGATAAGCCGTTTTTATTAAAGCGGATGATTATTTCGACGTCGAGCATCGTCGGCAGATAGGACGAAAACCGATCGATGCCTAAGCCACTGTCGTCGCCACCATCTCGGGCCGCTTTCGCGTTTTACACCTGATTAAGCGGCAAAGTGATACATCTGCAGCATTAAAAATATTTGGATTGTTATTAAATATCTTGTGTGGAGAGCAAGATTCAAATTTAAATCCTGCGATAAAATCGATTTAAAATTAAAAGCAGATTTTTATCATTTATAAATTTCCACATATTATTAAAATTTACCTAATTTACTTTCCTGAAAAAAATGCATAAGTCTGTAAAATCGTAAACGTATCCATTCTCTATATACTTAATAAAATATTATATTGCCAAAAATATGATTTTTTGTAAAATCAAAATGAAATTTTGCGATTAAAATTGTGAAATCATTAATAATGCAACGCTTTTTCCATCGCCTTTCTTACTTCCAAGAAGGAATTAGAGAGATTGGAACCGGCCCACCCTTCTTCACGGTCCGAATCAGAATGCAAAAAAAAAAGAAAAAAGGAACTGTTTTAAGAACAAAGGAGCCGCTTTTACATGGTCCGTGGAAAAAAATGCGTTTCTACGCGACCATTGTCCGGTATGGTTTCGATGAAAATCTAATAGCGCGAATGAGAAGGGAGCAGGATTAGTCCCGAAGAAACAAAATGACAAGAGAGAATGAAACGGATAAGGTAAAAAATAAGATGCAAACGCGAAGAGGGCGAGAGAGAGAGAGAGAGAAGATAGAAACACGGGGAGATACGTGTAGGTTCGTCCATATAGGGACAGAAGGCAGCCCTGCGGGCAGGCAATCAAATAAAGTAGTCCGAGGTTGCTTTGCCGGATGCAAATTCAGCCCCCGTGGGCTTTCTGTTTCCATCCTCCCTCCCGCTGTCGCTCTGTAACTGCGAGCCGGAATCTCAGCGCGAGTTTCCGGGATGGAAGTGGCCCTGTAACTGCTCGCCGATACATATCCTACTATACCCCCCGCCGTTTCCTCCTTTTCTTCCCGTTCCTTTTCTCCCGTCCAATTGTTTGTTCTAGCCTTTTCCAGCTCGAACACGAAGAATCGACGCTATACATGGCGCGTGTTCAATCGAATCCCTCAATAACGTGTTTATAGACATTTCAAAGAACTTGAAAAGTATATCCCTTTATTTACATTTCGATTAATTGCACGATTTAATAGTTTCATGTTCGCAAAGAATGAAGAGAATTCACGAGTATTTTTGTGATTATGGAGAGACCTTTGACCTTTTTTTATAGGTATGGGCTTCCGGTTGCTATATTTACAAAAAATCGGAAAATGTATCCAATTCTACACGCAATTTTTATAAACGTACGAAAAAATGTATAGTTAAGCTTATTTTTATCGCATATTTTTGAGAGATGAGAGATAATTTTATTTATAAAGGTTTAACGATAAATCCCGATGAAGCGCAAAGAAGATGGACACTCGGTGATAATTTTTAAGGAAAATACCACACGCGGGCGATTAAAGATTATATATCTTTAAAATACTAACATAAGCTAGAATGGCACGTCACGTACGTGTATTCGCCAGAGCGATTCCAACGGAACGAAGGGTTCGAGCGAGCGAATCGGATCGCGCTGTGCGACTCACTCCTAATTATGTCTTAATGAAAATAAATCGCTACATTTGTAAGAGTGTCGTGTCTCTTTGGGCATTTCTACGAATCGCCCACGCAGTTCGTCTTCTTCCTCCTCCCCTTCCTTCTCTCTGTCTCTCTTCCTTCCTTCCTTCTATCGCGTTATCTTCGTGCTCTACGCCACCTGTTTGATTCTCTCAAAGGGATACCAGTGTCTATTTGTCTATTTCGGTTTATCCCGTTCTCTCTCCCTCTCTCTCTCTCTCTCTCTCTCTCTCTTTCCCGCCGATTTCACTCCGCACGACTTGGATTTGGAATCCAACAGCCTTCCTCCTGTCTTCCTTTCCGTGCGCCCTTACGTTCCAAGTTGAACAATCAATTTCAATTTCACGAGAATCTCTTTTAAATCTCGAATTTGCCGCGCCATTCGAAACGACGCGACGCGATGGTTCGGGGAAGAAGGAGGGCAAATTAATGCACCTAAATGACAATCGTGAATCGATAATAAATCGAGACACAGTATCATATATGTATAAGAGAGACCTCTGCTTTTATTTATAATCTAATAGTAACAGCAGCGATAAAATAGCGATAGTAAGAATAGCAATAACAATATTATTCGATAATATATACAACTATAAAAGAAACTTATTTATTATAAATAGTGAGATGAGAGAGAAAAAATATTTTACAGAAATACGATCGCGCGCGTGTTTACAAATGTAATTCCGTTGGGAAAGGGGGAGGTGGCAACAAAAAACGGCAATGACACACACTCAACATAGTAATTCTTAAATAACCGTCTCTCTTTTCTTTTTTTTTTGTATCTATCCTATGTTAACTTACCGGACATGCGTGTATAATTCTGCCCGCGCAATGTACTTTTCTTTTTTTCTTCCATCACTGTTATTAATATGCCTCGACATCTCGCCCCACATTTCTTAGCTTAAGTATATATATATATATATATATATATTACAGTATGCTGGTACAGTATGCCAAGTGTATGGCAAGTTATATCCGGCGGGGCGCGAGAAATGTTTATTATCGCACCAATTGTCACAATACGAGCGTGCTGTCACATTTGTTATAAAGCTCAATCGTTCCATGCGCCCATCCATCAAAGTTCACACGCACACCACGTAATAAAACAAGACGTTCTTTTCACTTGCCGACGATACATAGTACGATATCGCTGGACGTCACGTCAGACTCGTTCCGAAACGGTACATATTATACAGTAAACTTACAATTACGACGATTACCGTTAAATCTAATAAGTAACAATGCGTCGAAATGGTGAACGCGATATCGGCGATTCCGTTCAGAAGCGGTTTCTTCATTCAAACATTTTCCATTCTTCTACTCTTTTATTCTCTCTTTCTACTAATGTTACAGTTCGCGACATTTTATCATCCCTACGGCTGATACCTTGATGCTGATTAAACTCGCGTAAAACTGATCGGTTAATTATAAAACAACGAGTTGGAGGTATGTTATCCGTGAAATGGACGAGAGAAACACATTCGGATAGACATTAGATCTCACAAAACATATACTATGGATTAAAAAAATAAAAGAAGGAAAGCGTTTCAGGAACTCGCTATATCCTTACATGTGCCTTACATAGAATTGTTCGAATGACTCGCTATTAAACGCATAATTGATCGCGTACGAATTTACGCACCGAGATAATTCTTACGCAGCTCTGTTTGCGTCGCTTGGCGATATAGCGTTCTGTAAATTTGAAAGTATTCAACAGAGTCAAAACTCGATTGCGTATCTATCACATTAATCCCCTGTCTCAATCGTCTGATTGAACGGACACACCATCGAATGTCGTAAAGAAATTAAAAAGAAAATAGAAACGCTGCAATCGATCGTGTAATGAATTCTCTTTATGTACAATCATACCAATGATCCTGTCGGCGATCTAATATTATCGATATAATTAATTAAATGGCCATTTGTTAGATGCAAAGATCTACTCGCGCGAGAGGAATGCCCGTATCCGCTCGGGAGACGGAGCTAAAAAAGATTCCGGTGAAAGAATGTTCCGTTGAAGGCACTCTGACTTGTTGCGCTCGGAAACTGCGATCTTACCAGTCTCGCCGACTAACGCTTCCCTAATATCTTCAAGAGACGAAGAGTGCAAAGACAAGAATGCGAATAAAAAGTAATGATTAGAGACGATCTTTACTTTAGTTATGTCATCTTTGCGCGATTCAAATGTAAAAGTTTTAAGTTTATCGAATGAATGAAATAGAATAGTTAAAAAATCGAATAATTTAAAATATAAATGTAATAATATTTTGAAGAAAAATATATATTTGAGATTATACCTACTTTATGCAATAAGAAATATTATATTTACAAAATAAACAAGAGAGAAAGAGAGAGAATGTTGAGATTATTCACGAGTATACGCTTCAATCAAAAGGTAACATTTAGCGTAATATGTATTGCATTCTTTTAACGCATCTTTATCTACAGATAATCAATGTAAAATCTTGCATTATGTAATGCTGATCGCCAAACGTTAAACGTAAGACGGTATTACGAGATACTGCATTAAAAAGAATTATACATTGCATTAAAAGTACAAATAATAAATGACTCGCGCGATTTGTACAGATTCGAAAATGCGATAGATTATAACATTGTGTCTTATCATTCCTGAAATTACATTTATAATAACTAACTTTTGCTATCATATATTTAACGAATCTAACATCGAATTACCAAGTGCAATAAATCCGATATCCCCGATAATATTTTACTCCCATTGAAAATTTATTCAATCTATAACTACGCGTCGCGCTATCTTTGCCTCTCTTCGTCCATTGGTTCTGACTTGAAAAAGCGCGATACCTATTCGTTCTCAAAGAAACGTCTTCTAAACTTACCTTCATCGAAATCAAGGCTTCGTTCGTTTCTTACATAAAGACCATATTTGCATTACTTTACAACATTAACTTCCATGACAGGAGAAAATCCGCAATCATATGGAAATGACGTTCCTTTCGCTCTTGGCTGCCGTGCATCTGTCACACGGCACAAAGTCTAATGTTCCTTTTCATCCTCGGTGGACGTCGCTTCCTTGCGTACAGCTTCGGCAGACTCGATGACCTCGAAGCCTTCGGAGGACGAAATATCGGTGGACGAACTCGTAGCTCCGGTGGCTAGAGAAACCGCGTCCGTCTTCGCTACGGAAGACACCGTCGCGTCCTCCGACACTGCGGTTCAACGTAAAATTGTTCCTTATTACGTGACGTGTCGCAAAAAAAAAAAAAAAAAAAAAAAAACTCTTTAACGCAATTTGGAAAGCAAATATCCGTAATAAAAGTCAAACTGTCGATGCGTGCGGTGTAAACACGCAACTCTGTAAGTCAAACCGCAGCTGTAAACAAACTGGTTTCCGATGGGATCGCTCGCTCGCGCGCGCGTTGCAACGATTATCGATTATCCACGAGTGCGAGAAACGAGAGATGAAATTAAAAGCCCAGAAAAATAATCAGTGCTAGTTGGATCGTTCGTATTGAAACACGATAGCGCGGTATCGCGTGCCAAACTGCGTAGTCGCTCCAAAAGCGACGAGTGTCAGTGACACAGGATCTACAAAGTGCTCATTCAAAACTCTAAACCGGCGAAACGCCGCGCGCTTCGCGAGTACGGGCGAAACGTATAATCATGAAATTACCGACGATTGCAACGTTACAATGATTTCATTTCAAAATTATCCAAAACACAACATTTTCTCCCGGGATCGCCGCCATCGCTTCTCTATCGACCTGTCGCGTTCGAGGGTGAATTTCCCATTATTTCTGATAACGTTCGCGTCTTAATGTATTTCAGAAAATTAAGCCGAAACAAGCGTTGTAGAGAAAAGAGAAAAATTTTTTTACCATTGTATGAAAGTTTCAATAGATGTATGGGCGCGTATGCGCCGATATATAATTAAATATATCGTTTCAATTTGTTCCTCTATATATACATGTACGAATATCGAAGTTCGATCAAATATACGATATCCAATAGCACGTTTAACTCTTTAGCACTATGGGATAAAATTTCACTTGTACTTATTCGCAATCCCCTCACATAAAAGCTTTACAAAAAAAAAAAAAAAAAAATAGAGCACATCTAGAGAAAAAATTAACTAAAAAAAATTAACTCATAATTACGTTTAAAAATACGACTGTCGAATTATTAAGTAAAACCGACTTGCTTCACCTGTCATTAGGACGGAAAAAAATTTTTATATAATTAGGAAATTAATCAAATTAAAAATAATTGCTGATATTTATCGATCATTAAAACATTTCTGAACAACTTTTGTTCGCGAGAAATTCACAAAAATATGATCTCTTTTATCGTGACTTGTAAGTCGGTGTCTCAGCACAGAAAATATAATAAATACAGTGTTAAGATACACAAGTCACGACATACCTTGAATAGAATCGTCACGACGATCAGCTGTTGTCGTCGGCGTGAACGTTTGCTCGGTATCGGCGCTCGCGGGTCGTTCTTCCGGACCGCTAGGTTCCGGATCGAGTTGGGACAGCTCGGTGATATAGTTGTGCTGCGTCTGCTCCGTCGTAGGCGTCGATGAGTCGTTTGGACTCGGCGGAGACGAAGGTGTCGCCGGTGACGACGGCGTCGATCCCGGACCCGGGGTGGTCGGAGCCGTGCTGGGTGTCGCTGGCTGCGCCTGCTGAGGTTGGGCGTGATTGCGAAACAGAAGTTGCTGCAGTTGCGCTTGCTGCAGAATTACTGGTAGCTCGTAGTGATGGAAAAAGTACAGCATCGAGTGCTGAAACGAAAAAAAAAAAACAAAAAAAACCGAACAAATCTTTATAAAATAATTCGTAAATCATTAAATTAGAGAATAGATCTATATGATATAATGCTTGCAGTAATGGCATTATAACGAGGATTAAAATATGCGACATGAGCAAAACGATATATCTATGTCTCTCGTACAATTAGATTATTCATATTGTTTGAAATTTGACGTCAATATTAACGTCATATTATTATCGACCTTCAATGACGTCGGTACAGCAATTCAGAGCGGCTTCTTCAAACATTACAAAAGTTCCAATCACAAATGTCAATGAAAAAAGTTTGATTTTATACTTGTGATATGTCATTTTAGGCTAAATCTCTCTCCCTGATATTATATCATCGCGGATCTACATACATACATTACAAGTTGAAATTGTGCCATGAAAGTTCGCGCGTCTCTTTTCGCGTTGCATCGCTGAAGAAATCAGAAACAAGAATTCTGTTGGCGAGATATATACATATCTCGTGGTACACGTGGCTCTCCACGCACTCTCCTACGTTCCGCGCGTATAATCCGTGTATGTGTGTGCGGTCCGCTCGCGCCTAGCAAATTTAAATGGAAATTCGCCAAATTCGTTCTATATCAGAGCGCTCTCTTTCTCCGCAATCGCTTCATTCGAACCTGACTCTGCCGATCCGCACAGATCGCAATAACGCGGGTTCGCTTTACTCGCCGCGAAACTAAATTCCCCGTCTGTTACATATATATATATATTATTAGGTGATTCGCGCGTCCCTCGATCGAACCAACGCGAGGAGCAGAGTTAAAAGAATGATTTATAGAGATATGAGATAAATTGCGCTCGTGCCAATGAGAATTGTTCGATCCTGATGCTCTATTTAAAATAGAAAAATCCAGCATGAACAAATGACGCGCGGGGGAGGAAGCGGAGGTGGCGAGTGGAACGGATGAGCGAGAGGAAGAATCTCTTGGATATGGAAAATAGATATCTCGAGTCCCTGCCTCCCGTTTCCCCTCCCTCGGGCACCTGTCGACGACGCGAAGGAAATGGTATTCCCGGCGATTCGTCGGCGAGAGCGAAACGATTCCGCGCCGTTTGAGAAAAAGAAGACCGGTGGAAAGATTCGTGATGAACGGGAGCGGATCCCCTAAGGTAAACGGGAAAAAATTGCGGGGGAGGAAGGATTGCGGAAACGGGGGAGCAGGATCGAGGAGAGGGAGAGGAAGAGGGGGCGATATATCGAGTTTTCGTTTGGCGGATAATCAACGCCAATGACACCGATATCGAATCGGCGTATAATCACGCCGCGGGGCTAATCGGCTAAAATCTGACCTACAGCAACAGCCGGCCGAGAGCTTTGCCATCCGGGAATCGAAACGATTCTCGGCCGACGTGCCCCGGAGCCTTTTGAATTTTGCCGCCACACGATATTCGTAAACTCATTGCTAGGAAATAATTGTCGCTCGTTAAATGATCGATCGTGTTAACGAACCTGTAACCCGGTTTGTCAGGCAAAAACTGTCATCACCGTGACGTGATGGGTTAAGCCAGTTTATTTACAAAGCATATATTCGATCATGTTCTCCAATGCGTTGACATATCATTTTATTTAGGCGTTTGTGGAAAAAGATTGCTGCACCATATTGTATATTCAACAATATTCTATGATAAAATATTAAGATTGAATAAAAATATATCACGCGTAAAAATAATTGATTGACGGATCACTTATTATAACATATTGATATTGAGAAAATATATGAAATTTTAAAAGATATAATCTGGAAAATCCGAAATGCCAAGACTTGTATTTTTAGAAGATTACCTATATATAGTAATTAAAAAAAAAATTAATCAAACGTAATTTTTTAAAACACTATAATACTTATAAAATATCTGCAATTTATAATAATTTTATCAATGATACGTATATCTAAATCGTATTTCGTTATATAAATGTTCGTTAAATTAAACTACACGTATAATACCGAGAATGATCGACAATCACTATAAATGTGTCCGACAATCGAACAGTGAATACAACATAATAATATAATCTTTTTTCAAGCGCGTAATGACGTAGCATCGTGATGCATTTACACCTTTTATCGAGTGAATTAACCACTCCATTAAACTTTAATGGTATTCAGTTTTTACGCGTGAAATATACACAATACATATCGAATGTAGTTATTAACGTAGCGGCTATCTATTGTAACGCCATTATAATAATACCTGTTAATACGGCCATCGCGATCATCTAATTATAAGTTATTGCGTTATCAAAGTACGCCCTCCAATCAGATTATCCACCGTATTATTGGCGTAGTAGCAAATTTGTTTCTGAAATTCCGGCGGCTTATAGCAAATGTTCTATTACGATCGATCGCGTTTGTCATAATAGACGATACTCTACTTAAATACGGAGATAAATATACAATCGTGCGTGACCGCGATGACTTGTCGAACATGACAATGTACGAAGTGCAGAGAGACTAAATTATCAAAGAGAGAAACGTTTTTTTAAAAAATTCCCCAAGTTTCAATAAAATTCCATGAGAATTTCCTAATTTTTTCAGATATAAAAAAAAAATCCCTGAAAATTCCAGATTCTTCATGTTTTCCAGGGGGGGTTAAATACTCTGCCAAAGTTGCAAGAAAGACCAAACAAAATTTAAGAGAACATAATAGCGTATATATTTCCTCATGGAATATACTTGATGGAAAATAACAATATTTCTCTCTCACATACACACAGGAATCTCCTTGACGGAAATATCTGCGTCCTTAATGAAAAGAACGAGACACGCCCTTCTCGATGAGAACGAGATTCCCGCCTTTAAGGTAACCTTATGCGCATTCGTATATGGGAGCCAAGAAGCCGCATTAAATTATTTCTATCGATCGAGCTGTCAGGAGCATTGTCCCGGTTGCGTTTACGTAACTTAAGTTTGAGCGATGGCGGCTTTAGGCTATCCAGCCAAGCGACCACGGCTCGTTCTTCGTTCTCGTACTGCGCTAGCGTTCCTGTCAATCGCAGGACTCCCAACAGTAGCCAACGGGATCGCATGCAAAATATTGTGCTCCCCCATTTTCCCTCATCTATCTCGACGCTATTCCTGAAGGCGGAAGTGCAAACTCGCGTCATATACTCGGCGCCCACACATCATATTTTTTATATGTTGTATAATAAATTTATAGTTACATTCGATTACGAATTAATTGTCTTATATACATGCACACTGTCTGACAAGGATTCGTTCCGTTCTTCTAGCGAGATGAACGTAGGTGTGGGGATATTCGTACTGAAAACATTACGATCGCACGAAACTACAATTTACTCGGCCAAAAAAAATTATTTTTATACTCGCCGCGACTCTATTATTAACGGGCGTGTATATGTTTATAAAATGTTAATCGCAAATTGTAATAATTGTTTGGAATAATTACGTTTTTCGAAAGATAATACGACGACAGACTCTCGTGCCGCTGCCTTCCCGCTCGAGCTTCACCGTACGAATGATAACAATATGCCAGCGTATCAAAACAATAACGTGTCATACGTACACCGTACGCCGTCAATTTCCTCCCACTGTCGAAATACTTTGTTTATATGTTAAATACTTAATATATAGAATAGATATCCCCACTCCCACGTTCACCTCACTAGGGAAACGGAACGAATCCGAGCAGTGTACAATTACTATCATTTGATTATAAACGCCAGATGCAATCGCGCGTTCCGAATTCATATTATATCAATTTTGTAAAATTAAATATGAAATTTTCTAAATAAGAGCCGTTTACTCTTTTTCAGTTATTTTAACATTTTCCTCTTATATATATTTCAAATATGTTAATCTAGCAAACTTTCATGTGTGTTCAACATTAATTAATGCAATATAGGAACAATGTTGGGATTAACATTATTTAATCTATCGAGAAGCCACATTGGACAATAATCATAATCTATATCTCTTAAATTCTCTTTCTCTCTTTCTCTTTGATATATTCCAATCCGAATATAATTTATCTAAAATGCAGCGCTATAAAATTTGGCTTCTCTCGTCAAATTTTGGTTCATTTTCTCACTTACTAATGCTTAACTTATTTAAACAGATTTAGCTGATTTATGTATGTACATGAATTAATTAGACAAACAGAACGATAATGATCATCCATCGATCAAACATATTAACTACTAAGTTCTAAGAAATTCAAAATATGCTAACATAAATCCCGGAAAGATAGAAAATCTTGTACGTATCCGCGATACAATTTTTAAACTCAGCTCGATTGCCGGGGAAGAAAAGAATCTTTTGCTAAACTTAGACCGACTATATCAGCTCAAGTACTCGCAAGTAGGTCACGGAATATTCAAGTGATCAATGTCCGTTTCAATGAAAAAGAGCAATTTTTCTCGGGAGAACTTTTCTATTTCCGTGGTAGAGTTTTTATCGCGAAGACGATTATTTCACGATTCGTGACGGGACGGGACGGGCGCCACTTTAATCCCAAAATATATACATCGCATAAATATTCGTGTCCCTCATCGGCCGTCAGCACATTTATGCACGCCAAGAGAATTTATTCCCGACTACTATTCTCCGTGTCCTGTCATTGATCGCGCTTTACGAGATCGTATCTCAAACGTCGAGTCGAATCTTGATGAAATCAAAGAATTTTATATTATCTATACTGGATAAAATAATACGATACCAAATTACTCACCTGTATAAAGAGCCAAGATGTGACTAGCGCCAGGCTGCTGTACTGCCCATTAAATCGATAATGGTACGCGTAGAAAGAAAAGTGGTACAAGTAGAAGAATCTGAAACAGAAAAAGCATGTCTCGTCATTAAGACGTGTCGCATGACACATGAGAAAAGCGTGTCTCGAAATACACGAGCTTTCGTAATACGAGATGAATAGTGAGTCATTATCGCGCAAACGCGCGTCCTGACGTCGTGATCGCGATGATATAAATAAATAGAAAATTCTCGCAATGCAAATACGTAAAATTACGGAATGCAACGAGATTTATTCGCCCCCGATGTGCGCGATAATCTCGAAAATCCGTAACAACATCAAGCCACTTAACAGGTTACATAACGTAACGATATACACGGCACGTTCCCACCCCGTGGCAACAATATGGACGAACTATCGATCAGATCGTATCAAGTTTCAGCCTATTGAAATATCGAGGGTGACGCGTTGCGCGGCTAGCGGCTATGCGTCGTTATTACGACCGAAAAAAATATCATAGGTGACGCAATATGCGTTATCTAGCTATAGCGACACGCACGATTCTAGTAAAAAGTATCGGATATGTTGCGGATAATTTTCTTGCGATTGACATGCAAAACAGAAAAAAAGTTTTTTTTTTTTTTTTCACTCAAAGAAGTCACTCAAAGAATCCGTAGACGAAATAGCTGATATTCGAACTTTCTACAACGAATCGTGATCAAAAAATGTTAAAAATTGCAAATCTTTCAATTTTATATCTCTAAAAAATATGAAATCTGTTTCTCATTATGCCAAGGATTAATCCATCTCGGTTTTACGATAAATAAAAAGCAGAAATACTTCATTTCTTAATCTTCCCCTAACTGAATTATTTGTTACGCTATTTCGTCGCGAAGGAGAAAAATCCTTTCTCGTGACTATCGTTTTACATATTTCGACCGTACTATTTATCGAGCTTGATTTTATGATTCATCAAAAATATTCAGATTTGAATCGTCATTTCGGAGAAGAATAAATTTTAAGAAAGAATTAAGATATCTGTTTAACAAAGTTTAACAAAATTTAACTCTCTTTTTCTCTTTCCGCGTATTCTTGCCATCTTCATACCAAGGCATTTTTGAATCAATCTAGATCAACCTAAATATGTCAAAGGCTGCATGCGTATTTATATATGTATATATATACTTTTTTTCATTGCAGTCTCCTCTGATGAACGGCGTTTGGGTGATGAAGGAGGGGTTGTAATCAAGCGATTTTTACGAGAAGCTGTTACGGGGTCGCCAATATTTACGGATCAGGGCGGGGTTGAGGCAACGCCACTACCCGAAGAAAGAAAAGCGATCAGCAGAGGTGTGGTGGAGGATGATAGAAAAAGAAGTCGGGGTTTGTAGGTATATCCCCTCGATGAGTACGACGAGTATGACGACTAATTTTCTAGAGTATATAACGGAACTTTAGCGTCTCTCAATCAATCCGATATGTGTATCATAAGTTATGGCTATATATACCCGTCATTATTAAAGTATTGTTACATAATATTTTGCAATCAATGAAATATTTTTACGGTAAAAATATTTTATCAAGCAAAGAGAATGGAATTAATATAAATAAATCTTTAGAAATATTATTAAAATTAAAAAGAAAACTATAAATATTCTATGTATCAAATACGTACATGAAATATGCCAAAAATTAAAAAAAAAAAAGATAGCAGATTTATACGTGTACATGTATCGAAAAATATCATATATGATAGACTATGTATTTAAAAATTGCGGATCTCTATTTCTAAGATCATTTATTCCTAAACAATACGTACTGAATGCATTTATGCGTCCAAGATCTTACGATGCGTAAATTTATATACAGTGGGCGTTGGTTCGTAAACGCTTTGCATTATGTTTTACGACGCTGCCAGTCGTAAAACGCAGTTTAGGCGGCCGATGCATCCCATTTTCGTCCGCAACGACACACATCCAATAAATCCAACCATGTCTTGTTTGGATCGAAGGCAAAGTCTCGTCGTGATTAAAGGGTTGACGTTACTTTGCAATTTGTTAACAAACTAGAACGTTACTTATCGTCTTTGAAAACAGTTAAGACAAATATTTTTTTTTTGTACTCTGATATTGTAAACTGATCAAAACAATATTTTTACGCTTAGTAAATACAATGTAAATATTAATCAGATAGTTTGTCAAATTTGATGGCAATCGCAATCAATTAGAAAATCTACATTGTAAACTATCTGATCCGCAATTGCGATGCTTAATGAATGTTACGTTTGTAAAAAGAGAAAGATAATTTTAACGCAAACGCGCCTAAAAAAATCGCGGAGAAATAAAAGGTGGAATGAACGGGAAACGGACAGAAGGATGAGAAAGAATGCGCCTCCGAAATCCTACGTTACGTATTCCGGGGACATAAGCTCTAAAGTGTCTCACGCTCAGGGAACCGCAACCATCCGCAGACGATTCATACGTCTTTTCCGGGAAAAAGGGAGGGCAAAGAAGAGAGGAGCCAGAGACTCTCCAAACGCATTTTGAATTCATTGAATAGTGCTACCCCATCCCTCCGGAGAACGGCAGGGGTTACTTTCGGACTTTAGAGCAGACTCCGAACAGGTCCCCAGCTACCCGATACAATCTCGGCGAACTTTTCATACTACATATACGTAACGTCCGGACTATAACTCGGTTAATGTAAGAAATCACGATAGCAGAGAGCAATAATTATTATGCGCAGTTATTCGATTAATCGACTTATTACATTACATTAAACTTATGTTATGTTTACTAATTGTAATTGTGATTCTGTTGCAATTTATAAGAAATGCATCAATGCAAGTAATTAGAATAGATATTTTTCAAGTATTTCTTTACTAAAGAAAAAGATGTATAACGTAGATATCCCCGAAAATTCGCGTTATTGCTTGGGATGGTAATGAATTTATGAGATATAACTCTCATGTCAAATCGCACGGAAGATATTCACCAAGGCGTACTTTGTCTTATCTTCGCCTTTGGTCGGATGCAGTTCGTAACAATCAGTTTCGGCATACACCTGACAGATTTACAATACGAGGAATACGAAGGGATGGTATCCAAACAAGAGGTTGTGAAATAAATTCGATAAATTTATTCCACAAACCGCAATCTTCTTAGAAAGAAAATTAATAACTATAAATTATATTAAAGATATATATATATATATATATA